AGCGGCCACATGCACAGGAAGCAAGTAACGTGGTACCAGGCAAGAGGCTAGCAGAGGAAGAGGACGCTCTTGCTGCCGCTCAGTTGGAGGAAGATGCTTTAGATTTGGACAGCAAATCAGCACAAGCTATGGCAAGGAAGGAAGCAAAGCGTTTAGTTGTAGCAAAAGGGGAGACAAGTGAACAGACAATAGAGGAAGAGAAACTGGACTCTGAATCTTTAGTAGTAGAGACCCTAAGCGATCAGAGTAGCAAACGCTCCCAAGGCCTGGAAGCCTCTAGTGGGGAAACAGCGGAAAAAGGCGCAGGTCCTGAAGCCAAAGATAGTAACGAAGATGCCAAGAAAACAGAAGACAAAGCTAATTCAGAGGAATCCCCTGCTACTAAAGAGTCCTCAACCAGTGAGGGTGGTGATCAGAAAAAGAGGTTTGTTTTTTCTCCGTTATAGACCAGATGCTATCTTTTTTCATTGGTCGTTAAGTGATGCGAATAAGCTGTTTCCTTCAATTGGCCACCGAGACTGGTGAAATTGTAGCCTATTCCTAAAGAATCTGTTTTATTTCTCCATGTGCAATGTTTTGTTTTTTTTTTTTTTAAACACAGAGGGTTTGATTTCTTTCCTTCCTCAACCTTCAAAGGTTGTTTTCTTAAATCTTTATTTGTAAACGTCTTCCTAATGTAAGTCTGTTTAAGAATCTGACTTAATTATTTCTTGTCAGATTTCTTAAATCAAGTATTCAAAGGTGTGTTTTCATTTGCAAGATATTTTCTGGTAGGTATTTAATTTTAGAATTTTTCATAATTTTTAGTTAGTCACTTTTCCTTCTGACTTGAATAATGTGTTTTGTCTTTAGCCCTGTTGAGGAGGAGAGAGATACAAAGATAATCTCAAAGGATGATAAAGGTATGTTTCTTTTAAAAAATAGAACTTCAGTGATTGCTTGGAGAAACTGTTTTTGTATTGGTTGGGGAATTTAATTGGAAAAGCATTGGAATCTATGCAGTTGTTAAATATAATCATTTTTTCACCTCTTTTTGTTTGGATTTTTTAAAAATTTATTTATGCCAAAAAGCCTGTGTGTTTTCTGAGGATATCTGTGTTGCACCCTTTTTTTTGTATCTTGATCTTCAAAGGTAGTCATTAATACTTGGCAAATATGTCCTTCATGGCACTGAAGATGCTTACCAACACCTGTTAGCGAGTCAAGAGCCTTTCGCGATTGTGTTTGCTTTACTATACGCTTGTGATTCTTCTTACCATCTTCTGTTTTGCTGAAACAATTTGGAATCTAGTATTCACGTATTCAAATGTCACAGAAATTTACAGCTTGACATTGTCTTCAAGTTAGACGGACGTTACTAAATCTTTGTCCAAACAGACCGTGTTTGCTGTGCAAATATGCATCATAAGATGAAAAATTCTTGATCAACAGTGTCAGGTGCCTACTCCTTCTTTTCATTGTACTTCTTCCTTTTAATACATCAGGCTGCTGAGTCTTTGCAGCTCACCCCACCTCTATTCTCTCCTACCTGATCAGGGCAGAAAATGTAGAACTTACTGTTAACATGCTTCTTACATACTGCAGGCAGGTAGGTTCAGCACTGTTCCAGTGATTCCTATAATAGGCAAGAAACTAATTATGAGATCAGTCTACCAACTGGACAGGAAGAATTTGCTTGTTTTTAATTGGGTTTTACAACACAGACTGAACTCATTGTCAGCTGCTTTTTCCAAGATCAGGGTTATGCCTGTCTGTGCAAGCTACTGGACCTCACCACTAGCTCCATTAGCTGCCACTAATGCTCAAAGCCTCATCCAGCCTGGCTTTGAACACCTCCAGGGATGGGGCATCTACAGCTTCTCTGGGCAGCCTGTGCCAGTGCCTGACCACCCTCACAGGAAAAAAATTTTTTCTAATATCGTCCCTCGATTAAAGCAGTTCTAAGAAATTCTGTGTATGACAAAAAAAAAAAAAAAAAAAAGGCAGATGGTTTGGAAGCAGGTAGTTGGACTGAAACCTGCTTCGCTCCATTCATTGAAGCCTATGGAACTGAACACGACCCAGGGTGATAAAAGGACAGTAAAGACATTTCAAAGGAGAGTGGAAACAGTATGCCTGTGTAAGTGCTTCACACTGAAATCCAAACACTAAAACTTGGGAGTTTAGCTCAAATGCTTTTTAATCACTAGACATTGGGTTTTCAGACTTTACAAGTATAGAAGCAGTGATAACATTATCTTTCTAGTTTAGATGCCAGATTGGACAGGTGTTCTGTAGTTCTTGCATAGTTAAAGAAAGCTTGGTCTTTTCTCGCTCCTGTAACTGAAGTCACAGGCTTCATACCCCAACTGTGGAACCTGTGTGAGCAGAAATAGGAGAGAAGTTTTCTTGCTTTCTTTACAGTGAATGTCTTTCCTGGAGAAATATGGATAATCTGCATCCCATCATCATTCCTTTGGTGTTGGGGAGATAAGGAGGGCAAGACATGAGCATACATGGATACTAACACAGTTCCCATAACTCTAGCAGGTCTTCTGTCTTTTTCTGTAAGTGCAGCGTTACAGGGATTTGTGCAGGCACATTCTGAAGAGCCACAGTTACTTCGGAGATGCCCCAGTCTGGTTTCTTTCTTGAAGAATAACATAACATACTTCTGTTGCACATATTAAAGCTTGTAGTTCCATCTTAAAGTTTTTGGGCTTGTAATACTACTTGCCTTCAGGAATGTGAATCAGGGAGAGAATGTTACGCATTGCACTTTGTGTGCTCTATGATTTCATAAAAGAAAAGATTTGTGGAACTGCTCCTTTTTGATTCAGAAGTAGTTGTTAGAATAATTGGGTTTTTCAGTATGTTTTGGTTTTGTTTGTTTGTTTTCCTAATTAGGTCGTGCTGCTAGTGGTTCTGGTAGAAACTTTTGGGTGAGTGGTCTGGCTTCCACTACCAGAGCTACAGATTTGAAGAATCTGTTTAGCAAATATGGAAAGGTAAGGGGGTTTTTGTTTTGGTTTAGTTGGGGTTCTTTGTTTGGTTTGGTTTGGTTTTTTTCTTTTTTACTTTAAATTGTCTTAATAAGACTTCTTAATTGTCTGACACTGAAAATACCAGTGAAAGGAATCAAATTATCAACAATATTGTGGGATATCAAAGAAAAAATTGCCAAATTACATGCTGAATGACTGCTTTTTTAGTCTGTCACTCACTTCCAAACAAAAATAAAGTTCTGTTTATGGTCCTTTATTTGAAACAGTCAATGGCTATTTACGTATACTTCTGTCTCCTGTGCTGTAGTATAGTTATCTTCACCCATTGGAAATTCACAAAGTGAATTTGTTTATTACAGACTTCCTTTGGACTAAGTAAAACATGCAGTAAACTTCGAAACATAATTACTGGAGAATATCTTAAGAATTGCCTTGGTACCTGAAGATTTTTTTATGTCTAGTGTTGGCAATTGCTTTAAAAAACACTTGTTTGGGTAGTGTTCGGGGGAGTTTGGTTTGGGGAGGGTCCTGCAGTTGTTATTAATGATAGACAAAATGGCAAGTTAAATATCCCTGTCAGCTGGGAAAGTGAAAGAGCTAGTTTAATAGAAGACTGATGTCAGAGACATCAGTAACGATTTTTGTCAGACATTTGAAGCCTATTTAAAGATGACTGTCAGCAGATTGTAGTAAAAGAAAACTGTATGTGCTAGCAATCTGCTATTGAATGTTTAACTAATGAAAATACTCTGGAACTGGAACGTTACTTTACAATAGTTACAAAAATGGATTAAGCTTTGAGTTTGTCTGAAAGTCATGAGACTAATAAAATCTTTTTAACGTTCCTCATAACAATAAAAATGCAATACTTTCCTTCCATTTATTTGTTCAGAATTGCATGTGGTAACCTGGAACGTTGATCATAGAGATGTACCACAAAATTTTAAATGTAATTAAGAACTATGCAACAGCCAACCTAGTATTTGCCTCTGCTTGGATGCCATGGTAATGTTTAGTTATTTAAATAAAATTACTGTTCTTTTCTTTGGTGTATTAGCAGAGGTAAAGCTTCCTAGAAGTAGTTATACATCTGCAATAACTGCAAAAACTATGTTTTTTATTCAGCTGTACTTTAAAATATGACACCTCTGTGAAATATGATTGATTTCTGTAATACAAAGTGAGCTGTATTAAATATATGAGCGTAAGTAAGCACCATTTATGAAAACAGGTGGTTTATGTGGGCTTTTTCAAGTTACACTTTTTGAGGAAACTTCCTGTTTCTTAAACAAGATTGTAGATAACATTGTGGGTCTGCGTCTTAGCAGTGACATGAAAATATTTTTTTGAGGGAAGATGGGACTTAGCAGTTGAGCTAGTATTAGCGTGTGGGTGGAAATTGGCTTACTATTTTTTATTAGGTTTTCACTCCCTTTATACTTAAGCAAAATGATAATGTTGATGTAAAGTTATTGTATCTCTTTTCTTTTTTTTTTTTTAATGGGCTTGCTTCAGAACAGAATTCAGTCTTTGCTCCCATCTATTGATTCAGCTTTTGCAGCATTGCATTGGCAACAGAAGCATGATTGGCTCTGAGCAATGCTCCTTTTGTATTTGTTAACTTCTTAAAAATATAACTTTCCTGAATGATGATGGACAGGAACAAAACAGTAGAAATGGAGCTTGTACTTTGGGCACTTGTTACAGTGAGTGTAATACCTCTTTCTTTTGGAAAGGTGGTAGGTGCAAAAGTGGTCACCAATGCTCGTAGTCCTGGTGCTCGCTGTTACGGCTTTGTTACAATGTCTACGGCTGAGGAAGCAGCAAAGTGTATTACTCACCTCCACAAAACAGAGTTACATGGGAAAATAATTTCCGTAGAAAAAGTGAGTATTGATCCTCAAAGATATACCATTACCATCAGATTGTAGAAATGATTGAGACCACATTCTCAGCTGATGATGTGCAAAATAAATTTCAGGCAAAAAATGAACCTGCTGGGAAGAAGCCAAGTGAAAAAAAAGAGAATGAAGCAAAGAAAGAAACAGTCAGTGAGAGGTACTCTTCCAAAAATTATCTTTCCAAAGGTGTTTTGCTGTTCTTCAGTCTATGTTTATTTGTCAAGAAAAACAACGTTACAGTAAAAATTTCTGTGGCAAACATTCAAAAACAGCAACAGATGCATTTTTCCAACTTCTACTACAAGATAAACTTCTGTTGATGTCCAGTGTCTAACTTAACATGTTTCTCATATGTGCTTTAAGGTAGGCATTCGAAAGTTGCATTTTCAAGCATGCCTTTTAATTTAGCCTCCTGTTGAGATACCTGAATCACAGCCAAGTTTTTGTGACAACCGGACAGCATGGTCTGATTGTCTTATTTTATGGTGTAGGAACTTGTAGAAGGAAATCTTCAGAAATGTACTTAAGACTGTCATCACACCAGAATTCTACTTTGCTGTGTTGCCAGCATTCTCCTTTCATTTTCTCTTTTTCTACTCTATACTAGTCTAACCTATATCAATATTTATCTATAGACCTGGCAGTGTTAAAAGGGATGAAAAATCTGAACAAAAAGATGATCCTAAAAAGACAGAAGACAAAGATGAAAAGGAGAAAAAAGATAAAGACGAACTGAAGTCTGGTTCATCAGATCAACCGAAAACTCTTAAGTCGGGTAATTTGGCTATTCTTTTTTTCATAAAGTAAAAGACAAGGAATGAATATATAAAGTATGAATAATTAATTGTAGGCAGTTCTTTCCAAAGAACTCTCAGTATTCTAGAATTATTTCTGGTTCTTAGTTGGAAATCCAGGAGGTATAAAGAGGCAGCGGGGGGAGGGTGTTTGACAGTGTGTCATCCTTAACCAAGGCACCTGAAATAGGTGTAGTGAAAAAATTATTTTTGCAGAGGGGGTTAAATGCCCATTTTCACATTTTAGAGAACATAACTTCTGGCACAGGAATGAGTGGTGTAGGTTATGTAGTTTGGTTGGTTTTTCCATCTCTTTCCCCTCAACCTCTGATTATTATTTAGGAAGTAAAGGAACAGAGAGAACAGTAGTAATGGATAAATCCAAAGGAGAACCTGTTATTAGTGTGAAAACATCAACTGCATCAAAAGACAGAGTAAGTAATGTTTCTGCATGGGAAACGTTATGTGTCAGTTTTCCTTAGAAACATACACTGAATTCTGACAAGCAACATGTAACCCACGCTTGTCTTACCAGTTTATCCAATCAGAATTTCTATAATGTGGATTTAGGTCTTAATTAGTAAAATACCTTTAATACAGCTGATACCATATTCAGCAATGAGATCCTACCAAACGAACATGGGAAGGTAAGCATTACTGTGTTAATATATGATATGTCTGTAATGTTAAAAAAACCCCAGCTTTTTTGAAAAATCTGGAGACCAGGCTTTGAGACATGATATGTATAAATGGAAACAGAGCTTAGAGTATTGTTTGTGATAGCTGTCCTTTTATAAATGTGCTCTATTAAGTTTCTCTACTTCAATATTAAATACAGAGCATGAAGAGCCAGGATCGCAAATCAGAGAGCAGAGAGAGACAAGGCATTGTGCCATTTGACAAAATTAAAGCACAGCGAAAGATGAGGGAGGCGGAGCAACGCCGGTAAGAGCAACAGTGAAATTGTTTGAATTTTTATTTTTTTCTAGAACGAATATGCTTTTCTTTTGATTAAAATTACTAAGAGATAAAGAGGGGTTTGATTTGGTTTTTACTTGTAATTTGTTTTATGTTAATGGGTCGTATCTCCATTGAATTGAGAAAGCTCCAGTTATTGACTCTGTTAATGCTAAACCTGAAAATGTGTTTGGGGGGAAAAAAATTGCAGTTTGTTTTTTGTTCTTTTTCCATTTTGTAGGTTTTATGGTTTAGATTGATTTAAGTATGCTGCTCTCCTTAGCTAAGCATGCATTATGGTAGAGGTGAAACAATAATTCTAAACTTGCCACACTCAAATATACAGAGAAAGACCAGGAGAAAAGTTGTCTTTCTCAAAAATAAGACCTTGTCTTTCTTGTCATGGCATTCAAAGTCTACATAGTGTTTGAAATAAAACAAGATGGAATATTTTTGTATTTAAATATGTTGTGTCTGCAGAGAAATTCGGGGATTGTCCAGCAACCCTTCAGAGTTTCCACATTGTATATTTTTATTTAAGAATTTAGTTCAGGTATTTAATTATTTTTGGCAGGGCTTTATTTTGTTTTCATGATGTTTAATGCAGGATAAAGGTGGTAGTGGCCATCCTTCAAATTCCTTGCTAAAACTGTGACCTGAATTCCACATTAAAACATTTTCCATGCATTACAAGACTTTACTACTTACCTAAAGTAAGTTGAATTGGATTGGGGGAAAATGCTTTCATAATTCTTACTGGAGAGGAAAAAGTTTCTCTCTTGTAGGTAGATTTCTGAGCCTTAGTGGATTTGTATTATCCAGCATACTGTTCTGGCTTTTTCAGAGTTGGATGTTTTATTTAAGTAGAAGGAATGAGCTTGGGGCATTTGGATTCAAATTCTCCTGACCATATAGGATTGCTTGCTCCCACAGGTGGGTTTTGTGGGAGTGATATGATCAGTCTCTAAATAAAAGTTACTCATGTGTATGCTGAGTGTTTGCCCTCCATGCTCTCCTTCCTACCTACCCCCCCCCAGGTATAATTTCAAGGAGCCTGATGCAAGTGTACAGTCACTATCGTTTTAATTTTTAATACTTTTTTTTCTAACTTCCTTTATTTGTTGAAGTATTAGATCTGTAACCTTTTGCTTCTGTTAAAATAGCACACGTGAGCGTCGGGAGAGACAGCAGCACCTGCAGACTATCCGTGAACGAGAAGAAAGGGAGAGGCTTGAGATTGCCCGTGAGAGACTGGAAATTGAAAGGCAGCGTCTTGAACGAGAACGGATGGAAAGAGAAAGACTGGAAAGAGAACGAATGCACATAGAGCACGAAAGGAGAAGGGAACAAGATCGCATTCAGCGAGAAAGAGAGGAGCTGCGACGCCAGCATGAGCAACTGCGCTATGAACAAGAACGTCGGTCTGCGATGAGAAGACCATATGACATAGATGGCAGGTACAGCCAGCAAATACACATGATGCAAGTGGAAAACGTTGCTGCCAGGTTCTGTCTCATCAGCCTGTGATAGAAAAAGCTATCCATATGCTCTCAACTTCTATTAATCAACAGTTGTCAATTGCATTGAGGTGATCACGTTTAATAGTCTCAAACTATCCTCTCTGAGGTGTTTCAACTCCTTTTCGAACTTAATTACCCTTCTGGTTTGCACAGTTTGGAAGGAGAGAACAGTATCAAAAGTCATTATCTTGACTAAAATGAGTATGTTCTTTCTTTCAGAAGAGATGATCCGTACTGGCCAGAGGCAAAACGAATGGCAATGAATGATAGGTACCATTCAGATTTCAGTCGCCAGGATCGCTTCCATGACTTTGATCACAGGGATCGTGGACGTTATCAAGACCATTCAATAGACAGGTTGGTGTCTTACCTACACTGTGTTGCCTGAAATCGGAAGACAAAAATGGATTTAATGGCACATTTTGCTGCCTTTACTGTGTGTTTGGTTGGCATTTTATTAAGTGTGGCCTAGTGGCTGTGGGCTTTCTTATATAACCATGAAGAGGTGTGTATTGTGCTGCGAGCTAAAACTTTTGGCAGGCTTTTCAGAGTGTTCTACTTGCAATGAAACAGCATTTGTAGGATTCTGAAAAATTTCTAAATAATATTGTAGGCACCTAGCATCTTAACAAGAATATTGTGTTTATACCTTAGGATTAACTGGGGTTTCCAGAATCCAAAACGTGTCATGGTTTCCATGTGTTCCAGCTGTTTGAGCCATCTGTAGATAATGTTGGCACTACATGGAAGCAGGATTTTGCATCTGTGTTGTTAGATGGATTTTTATAGACTGCTGTATGTTTTACTACCACAGTCTGATTTTAATTGTCTGCTTGTAGGAGAGATGGATCAAGGACAATGATGGGAGATCGGGATGGACAAGTGAGTTGCTTTATAAAGCTACAGAAACATATTAACTTCTTATAACTTGGTTTTCAATAGCATGTGTCAGACAAAGTTTCAGTAGTTAAGAAGTTATATCTCCCAAAATATGTATCGACAGCCAGATTGTCTTTTCTTTAGTAAGATGAAATTTAGTTCAAAGACTTGTTTTATATTATAGAATATATATATAGAACTGAAACAAAACAAGTGAATTGTGTCAAAAATGTAGAGTATTCCAAAGATTGTGTAGAAAAGGCAAAGGTACAAAGTATGCATAAAATTCATTCTGAGGTTGCATGGAATTAACAGCTAAACTAGTAGAGATGTTTGCATGTTTTTGAGGGGTGGGGGAAAGACCTTCAGGACACGTTAAAGCAGTGAGAGATCAATTTAGTGGAGTCACAGAATCTGCAGATGGCTCTACTCAGTAGTGCCCACTGACAGGACAAGAGTCAAGGAGCACAAACTGAAACATATTAAATTCTGTTTGAAGACAAAACAAATTGCCCCTTTTTAAAAAATTAAAAAAAAAAAAAAACAAAAAAAACCCAACAAACCAACTGGTCAAACACTGGAACAGGTTGCATGGGGAAGTTTTGAAGTCTCCAGCTGTGAAGATACTCAAAACTTGATGGGAGACTGTTCTGGACAGCCTGCCTTGGCTGACCCTGCTTGAGCAGAGGGGTTGGATGAGGTGACCTGACGAAGTCCCATCCATCCTAAGTGATTCTGAGATTAAGTAATTACAGTTGAGCAACATCAAACAATTAAAGAGTCTGGTTTGGGCAGTCCTGTAAGTGTGCTTTGCCTTTTAGCATTATCCAGATGAGCGCCACGGAGGACCAGACCGTCATTCACGAGACTCTCGGGAAAGTTGGGGTAGCTATGGATCTGACAGAAGAATGAGTGAAAGTAGAGGGATACCTCCACAGTCACGGTTAGTACACTTAACTGAAAATATTTTTTCTTGTGCATCTAAGGAATATTTCTGCATGTGAAAGTGGGGTGCAGTTTTTTGGAAGTGTGATTCTTTTTTTCCAACTTTTACCCTGAGTCTTTTCTTTGTTGGATGGACTGCAAATGAGTAGCTCTTTCAGCTTGCCTTGTGCATCAAAACATGCATTTTGGCATTATTATTTTTAATAACTTCACATTTGAAAGTCTTCATGTTTTCAATTAACTTTAAGAAACATTATTATCAAAGTTTGATATTTTCAGGGTGGTGGTTCTTCCCCAGTTGTACTTGTTGGAACCATCATTCTGCCAGCCCTTTGAAAGGAAAACAAGTCAATAAAATGCTTACAGACTGGGGGCATATGGGGTGTGTTTTGAGGTTTTGTGTTGGATATTGTTTTTTAATAAATCCTATGAGTAAGCTAGACTACAGAACACCAAAAAAAATTTGACCGGTCAAAACAAGAAGCTAGGATATTTGGAGTAAACTGTGACATGAATGTAGCATAAATCAGATTAAGAAAATGTTATTTTCTTATTTGTCATGTTAGTTGGATTGAACAGGAAGCTTACTGAGACTTGACTTAAAAAGCAATATAAATGCAAGATTTGCATGTACTTTGGTAAAGTATTTGAGTAAGTTTGTGACAGTCATTTTAGTTGAATCTATTTTGTGTGCTCTGGCTAATGTGAGAACATATGAATTTCATACTTTTGCAGGGATGGGCGAGACTGGGGAGATCACGGTCGAAAGTTTGAAGGACATCAAGATCGTTCATGGCAGAGCACTGTGGATGGAGGAATGATAGGACGGGATCATGAGAGATGGCAAGGTATGATTCTGTGATTCTATGCTTCTTGCACAACAGCTCTTTGGTTGTGCTACATAAAGCAGAAAATACAGGCATTATTACTGTTGGGAGAAGAAGTAAAACTATTACTGTGGATATAAAGGAAGCATTTGAACTTTTTTAGGTGGAGGTAGAGGCAGACCGGGCCACGTGATGCATCGTGGAGGCATGTCAGGGTAAGAACTTTAAAAACAGCAAAGTGTTTGTTTCCCTTTTAAGGGGCATCTCTTCTATGTAAATTGGCCAAATAAACATTTTATGGGAGCATCAGGTATTCGTTTTGTTATTTAAGTGTCAATGAATAATAAAATATCCCCATGGTTTTTATGTAGTGCATCTTATTGAAGAGTGAAAAATCACACAAAAAGTTTTAAAAGAACACCCATTATATCAGCCTGACTACCAGCGTCACAAGGGAAAATTAAAAAAATTAAAATGTCTGAATCACTTTCTAGGCGTGGAGGTTTCATGCAAGGTGGCAACCAAAGTCAGATGATGCACGGAGGAGGAATGCAAGGAGAAGGATTTGCTGGCCAGGAGAGAGCAAACAGACCTAACGATCCTCGTTTCAATCGTCGCTACTGAATGTGTTTTAATTTTTAACGCAAGATGGCAACTGAAATGAATCTGTTACCCAGGGTTACCATTAATTGTAACTTATGGGCTACTATAAGTGTATTCTTGGTTTTTTTAAGCTGCTGCCATATTATGTCACTCAATCCCTTGTGAACTTATCTGTTTTGTAATGTGTTGTTCATATCCCATTTAAAATGTTTGTTAATGAAGCATTCCATTTTCCATAAATAAAAGCCAGTTTACAGTTAATTGCTTTGTTCCAGCAGTCCTGGAAAACCAGTTTATTCAGCTGTATGTTAAACTGTGTTAAACCATGTAACTTTCTTTCAAAGATGACATATCAAAATGCCTTTCAGGTATCCCTTTGCACTTCCAGTAGCAATACACTGACATATTGTGCCACTTCATACATGTCAAAATTAACTAGCATACATCGCAGTGTGAGAGAATGTTAGTAGATTGCAGTTGTCAGAAGTTTGAATTCCCTGCCACTGTAAAATTGACTTAGGCTCCTGAAGGCCAAGTGGTGAAGAATTTTTTTCATCTTGTCTCATGTTGGTAGGTACTGTGCAACATAATATTCTTCATTCCCTGAGTGACTATACTGAGTTACCAGCACAGCTTCTATTGAGAGAAAAAGTGCAGGTACTTGTGAAAGTAATGACTTTCAAGTGCAAGTCAGAATCTTTTTTATTTAGCTTCTGATAGATCAGGATAGTCCAAAACTCCACCAGTTTTAGGCCAGTAATTTTACCTAGCAATCCATAATTTCCTTGAAGTAGATTAGAAACAGCCATTGGCTGTGCTTTGGCATCATTTTAAGAATGTATTGAGAACTAAAGTGATCAAGATTGGTGCAAATGATCTGTCACTTTGTCATATCCAGATTGTAATTTTTTGCAGTTGTCTCTGGAGCAACATGGCCTTAGCAATAGCCTCCAAAGATAGTTCTTGTGATGCCAAGAGGAAAAAAATCCCATTATTTTCATTAGATTTTTTTTTTTTCTCAATTGACTGAAGACTTTTTTTTTTTTTTCATTCATTTCCCACAACCTGTATTGTTACGGAAAGTAGAACTCCGGAGGTCTTTTTCATCAGGGTTGAGACTTCCCATAATGGAAGGGATCCTTGTGGACAAACTAAATTCTAAAAAACTGTTTTGATTGCAGTGGGGAGTTGCCTGAGGCTGTCTGGATCACACTGACATCAACCTCTGTGTAAAAGTTAGTTTTTTCAGTGGTGAAGCTAAGGCCCAGAAAGACTTGAGTTATTTGTTCAAGAACACACACTAGAAATGCAAACAGGAACAATAGATCTCCAGACTGCTACGCTTAGTAGCAACTACCTGTAATAATTCTGTGGGTCTGGCTAGAATCATCCTTGCTTTTAATCCTCCAGGTGTTTCACCTCTGATACAAAGAAGAAAAAAAAAAAAAACAACGGTGATACCCCCAGAAATGCTCTGCTTTCTCTGCTTTGTCTTTCCCAATTCAGATCATTGACCATTAAGCAGGAAGATAAGTGAATCACTCCCACTAGCTATAACCTATGGCAGTCCCTATTATTGTACCTGGACCTTCTCTGCAGGAATTGCATGGAAACAAGAAGCTCCACCACAACTGACCTGTCCATTTGTAGCTTCAAAGAGAGCATCTTGTCCTCAGCAGGTATGTAGCATCTCGAAAGGGGTTATGAGATTTCCCCTCAAGCCAGGGCAGGCTCTATTTACAGCACTACAGAGTCATTTATAAGCATGAGAAGCTGGTCTACTATTCAAGGAGTTCAGCCAAGTCAAAGTCATGCCTATGACCCAGACCACTGCATCAACAACCTACATAAGAGACTGATGCCAAAGGGACAGTACCATCTGGGGAGACAATTATTCTAACAAAAGAACCTTTCTGACATCTGGGGGAGGGAACAATAACCAATCAAATTGGAGCCTCTTACTATTTCATGATGTTAACTGCATCTGAAAATCATATTTACTTTAGGATGATGGCTTTTTCCCCACCAGGTGTTTAACTGGACTGCATTTCTCTCTAGCTCCGCTAGATGGGCACACTGACTACATGCGTGTTTCTGACATGGTAGCAGCCGATCACTTAAACCTTGACACCCAGTCAGCAGCTCTGATATCTGTCCAGTATTTATTAAATCCAGTGCACGGAAATGACTGACAAAATTCTGGTTTGGGGGTTGTCGGGGTTTTGGTTTGGTTTGGTTTTTGGCTGGTCCAAAGATTTCTATGGGTTATCAAAAAAAAAAAATTCCACACAGCATAAGTGGAGACAAAGCTAAACAGCTGCCTTCTATTTCCCAATTCCAAATAAACTCTGGATAGAGACCATGTAACCCAACCGTAGAAGAACCTCAGAATGTCCATGAGTGGTGTAAGCAGGTTGGATCTTTGTAGTTAATTACTGCTGTAATCAGCTGCTGTAACATGTAAAGTACAAGGTAAAACATAAATATACTGATTAACTCAGGTTTGTGTAGGACAGAAATTGGGTTTGCATGGTGCATTTTTTTCTCAAACAGCAAATGTGAGTTCCCTAATTTTAAGAAATCCTCATTCTTTGAACTTTTGCAGACTAGAGTCCTTAAGGTAGTTCTAATGAATGTTACCAAAATCACTCAGGTGTTTTTAAAAAACAATAATGTCTGTCAAATGTGTCAAAAACCAACCAAACAAGTTATTTTAATACTGCTTATGCCTGCCTTACTTATTAGTCTTACTGAGTCTGCAAACCTGTTGGGAGTCTCGGCAATGGAAGGACAACTTCCAGACAGCCCCAACCTTTCTGGTCCTTAAAATGAAACCAAGTGAAGCATGCAAGCTCTGCGATGACAAAAGCAAAGCAATTATGTTCAAACAAGGTGGAATAATCCTACTAACCGAGAAGCAAAAGCCAGGCGAGTTTTAGCATTCAAGGCCCTATGGCTAAAGGTAAGTTCCCAGCAATTTCAAGCTCATGCATGAAACTCATACCTGGCCTGGAGACGGAGAATGTTTGATGCTAACAAGCATGCAAGCAAGATCCTAAGCATGTGTGGTCTGTGCTGTTAGCACAGAGGAACTTCCACAGCATTTAGCTCTTAGGCAGACAGCCTAGCATGTCTACACTAGAAGCCTAGCTTCTCTTTATCCAGGGGAGGGAAACAGTTCCTCACTGTTTTGGAGGCTTTCACTGACTTTGGAAGTCTGATGACATAGTTAAATGGCATAAATCCTCCATAATTCCTGTTTACTTCATAAACATACTAAAGATGCTGGTAGTACAGGTTGTCATCTGTGCTTCTTGGGAACCGTGCTGGAATGTCAATGCTGCAGGATTGTGAGGATGAGAAAGTACACCTCAGGCCCACTCATCTGCCTTGAGAAGGCAACTGAAGCATTTGTGCAAGCCAAACTAGGATGCCTCCCAAGTGCTGATGTACAAGAGAACTGTATTCACTTGTACATACCTTCCTCTTTTTAGTAAATGACTTGAATTACTTTAGACCATTCACAAAATACCATTGCAAAAGCATATTGCAATGAAGAAGCTTTAGAAAGCAATCATCAAAGGGCAAAAAAGTGGTATAGAAGACCATTAAAAGCATGAAGAACTAAAGTTCCAAGCATATCAGAGGTGCAATGTTCAACCTATTTGTACATAGTGTGTGTACATAAACCAAGACTATGCTTTGTTCAAAGTGATGACATTTTGTTTGTAGCAAAAGCTAGAGAGATGAAGACTCTCGATGCCTGTGTCAGAATTTTCTTAATGGGAGGTTTGGCCTGGTGGGATAGGGGAGTAGACACAGAACCATTAGCTGGAGTCCTAAACCTCACTCTACCTCTCCCCTTATCTTCCAGGATATTCGAACTGAGGGTAAGTGTTTTCAGAAAAGACTTGAGGATAAGCACGGAAGCCATCCTGGAGACAGGAGATAAGTCTTTTATTACTTCTGGTGATTTGCAAGGTAAAAATTAAACACTGCTCTGCAAAATTAAGTCCTTTGTTTTGCACCAAAGAGCAGTAAAGGGGTAGTCAATGGTAGCTGAGCTTCCCATGCAGACTGGCCCTTGGTCTAGTGGGAGAGATGGGAGGTCTGCTCCCGTAAACCCATGTTCCTAGTGCATCCCTCGTTGGGCTATTTGTTATGTGAGATGTGCAGCTTTTCAGTCTGTTGCCTAAGCTGCGGCAAGCTCATTGCGCAGGGGCTGTAAGATGGCAGACAGCTCCTGTCTCACAGCTGGAGTTAATTTGATTATGTATACTGTAGTTGTCAGCATGCCCAGGAGCCAGTCTGTTGAACAGCATCCCTGCACACGTATCTTAGCTCCATAATTTTCTGGTGTGTGTGCATGGGGACAGGTGACAGAAGCTCCTGCTGGAAAAGCTGTGCTCCTTCAAGGGCAGTTGCCATTGGGTAGCCCAAAGAAAGTAAAAGAAAAATATGTAAAAGTAAGTAAAATAAAAAAGTAAATAAAAATATGTTGGAACAGGGTGCATGTAGAGCAATCCTTCATCAGGTGATAAACTCCCAGTGTCTGGCACTCCAAGGTTTACTGAGCTGTTAGCTTCCATCTGGACTATTAGGTTTAAGAATCACTGGTGGACTCATCCTCCAGGAATTAACTTAAGCACTTTTTAAAGTTATTTATACCTTAGCCAAAGCCTCTGAAATCTCTTGGCAGTACGTTTCATCATACAACCATTTGTTTAAAAAAGGAAACAAAACGCCCACAAATCCTCCTTCCTTCTTGTGCTAATCTGCTTCCTAATCTGAGTAAGCACTCATCCTGCTCTCCCTACCTACCCTTGCCTATTTCCTGTCCTGTAGCTGTGTCTTGGCTCATTCTGTAACTAGCACAGACTAGAACAATGCAACTGTGTTAGCACATCAACATGTCAGAAATGCCACCTCTGCTGCCAGCAGCCAGGGCAATCTCTGTCCCTAGTTTTGGAAGCATGAGCAGCAGCTCTGGGACAGAAACCTGAGGACAGAGAGGTTACAAGCTGTGTATTTACAACAACCCATCCAATATACAAACAGATGCTTCCTGTGAAGGGAGAACAGATTCATACTGATACTATGCTATGTCATAATGACTTCTGCAACCTCATGCCACAATTCCATCGCAAAGGGTTAAAAACACAGAATAAATCTGTAACTCCATCTTACAAAACTGATGCCCTTTAGGCCATTGTTGCTCCTTATATATGCCTTGTCTGTCACTGAAAACTGACCTCGGGAAA